CTGTTATACAGCAACATTGATTCCATAACTTAAATGATCATACAATGGAGTAATATTTCCATAAATCTTGAACGACCAGATACGCACCAATTTGATAGCAAAGGGTCGCGGGCTCTATGCCCACCGGGTTACATTTTCAAACAATAAATAACATTTTCATTTTCGACCGTTAAAATTTTCTTTCAATCGGATTCAAATTGGCCACACCACTGCTATATCAAGAAGAATATATATCCGTGTTTGATTCTCGGTTAAAGTGATTTTTTTTACTCTTGATTCCAAGATTCAACTCGTTACCAGAATTAACAGTGCATCTTTAAAATGTTTCCATTGCACTCATAAACATATTAGTATAAAGGTCTACATAAAATTAAATAAAATCGAAGAATTAATGTTATGGTGTAATGTATGCTGAGCAACACAGTGATTAAAACATTCATAGAAATATGTTTAGTATGTAGGCCTAACATTAATTTGAGGCATGTTGTGGCGAAATGGTAAAGTTGTCGCACAGTCTAGTATTGAGTAAATGAGCTTTAAAATATGGGAGCTCAAAAATTGACAAAAAATCCAAATTTGTTTTTCAGTGTAGGTCAACATTTTAATGTCTTATTAATCATGTCCCAAAGTATTAGTTCTGGAAGTGGTTAACAAATTGTTTATTTAACGTTATTTTTCATAGTTCATTCTATTAAACAATGTATACACAAATAACTTTGAAAGGCAATTACTGAAAATCTTGTTTATCTTGACTATAAAAGTACTGTACTTTCACTTTCCAATAACTTAGGTTTGAAATGTCCAATTTGAATGAATGACCTCTCATTTTAAAGATCACATACTCAGGTATCTGACAATACCAATAACTTGAATTTAAATTTTTGCTACAACTTAGCCATTTTGCCACAACATGCCTCATTTATGCCCATGCGAGATGGTTGTACAACACCGTGGGACTTCAGAGAGTGTCATCTACAATGGACCTTTCTGCTAAGCCCCGTCCCTTGGATATTTTTGCTATGGTCCCACAAGACTAACCAGTGTTAAAATTGGTTAAAACCAAAGATAATAAATAGCAGAAGATAGAGCAGCTTCCCAATATAGTGGAACATCCGTTCCAAAGGCATTGTGCGTACACGGAGAGCAATTTTACCCCGTCCACGTGGCGGCGCTATATAGAAATAATAAACAGCAATAAAGGCGCCGCTCTGGTTCGTTTGTTTCCTGTAGTTTCGCCACTTAGTAAAATGTTCAAATTTTACCCCATTCGCGGGAGGGCGGATGTTCCATCAATTTTAATGCAAATACGCGGAGCAGCTCACTCTGCTATTTAAGTTCTTTGTTAAAACATACGCGAACAAGTTTGTTTGTGGGACAACACGTGTGTTTTTTTTTAGACGCGCGCGTATTCATAGCGCTGTTCTGATTAGTCAGTTAAATTTGATCGACACCTCGGAAAGGTGCATTCTACAATCCTAAGTATAAATAGGCCTACCCCAGGTCGGCCTCATCATCTCATTATAAAACATCAACCACTCGGACAATCATTGCTCTCGGATGTTTAAAAATGTATTGTCCCATGGAAAATACCAACTTGAATATAGAAGTGTATTTTAAAAATTTACCCATTATTTTACACTACTTTTTATTATTACATTCAGTATGAAAATCAGGGTACACAACTTTTAATTCAATAATTTCCAAAAAATGTCCAAAATTAATAACTGATGTTACTGCAAAGTGAATAAGCTAATTTCAACCGTATTTATATGATTTAAAAAAAAATCATTTTCACAGGGACAAAACATCTTCAAACTGTGTGTGGATACTGAGAATAAGAAGTATATTTTGATAGAATAGATTACTTTTAAGTTTTGTCGTGCATTTGATATTATGGCAAAGAAAAAATTATTGCTTTGCTTTTAACATAGACCTAAAAACAAGGAAATAAATCACATTTTCATAGTAGTTTAGAAGAATACAAACACTATTTATGTCTTAGTGCTTCTATGATAACAATTATTCAGTTTCAGTTTTCAGCCCAACCACCAAAACCAATATACTTTCTCGTGCACTATCGTTTTACCAAAAGAAACGAACTCATTTAGGCAATAATAGTAGTTTCTTCTGTAACGCAGTAGAACCCCACCTTTGGGACACCCCTATTAAGGGGACACTTTTCCGTAAAACGAGACCCTACCAAACTTTTACTTAGTACACAATGTGCTATCAAACAACTGTAAAATATATAAAAATCAAAATTGAGTCCCATCATTATTGAATTTTTGTTCCCAAGCATGCTCTGTGAAGGAACACACATTGCTAATATTTAGATCTCAAACACGTTTTGTGATTGGTGGCGAGTTAATTACGTTATATTTTTTGTTTCAGGCCAACCGGTTAGACCTACCATCTTTACCCCAAGCATACCTAACGCAGAATCTACTATTGTGCACAGAACAGAGCCCGAAGGTGGGCGATTAATTTACGTCAGCACTATTAGTTACAACCCTAAAGTATATTAATTGTATCGATCGTATTTCTGGTTGCTTCATTTGTGCTATGTAATTCTTAGTGCTCCTACGGGGAACCAGTAATTAGGCAATGTTATTAAACAACCTGAAAGATGTTAATAAATTATTTAAGAAATATGACAGAAACTACCACAACGAGATTTGTTATAATGAAATATATTAACTTAGACTATAGCAATATGTGGAAGGTGAAATAATTTAACAATTTTATTTAAATTCAAAGCCGGGCTACTGCGTCGTACGACGATCGTACGACCGTCGACTGACGAATCAAACTCTGCTCCCTGTGAGCACTAGACGACCCGAAGCCGTCTGCCAAATTGTCTGAATGGATCGTCATTAAAAACGATCCGTTGCGCGCGCGTCACGGGATTGCGTTCTGCATAAAATCGCGTCCGGCGACGACCCTCGGGCGAATGAGTGCCCGGCTTGAAGACGGGGACACACTGCCGACGGTCGTCAGTCGGCGCTACTCCATGGAGAACACTACGCTACGAGGCGCGCCCATTTTAATGACCATTCAGATTGCCAGCCGGTGTGTCACGTCGTCAATGGCGACGATTGATTTGCAATGGGTTCCTGGATGGTACTGTCACCGAATTTCGACAGTAAGAGCTGCATAAATATACAAAACCGTAGACCTAACCTAACCTTAACATGGGTAATGCTGCGAATATTCTTACATTTTTATATTTGCATACAGAATTGCATCGTAATATAGACACAATATTTTGTGTTAGTTTCAATCAGACGTGATAAAAAGTAACAGAGAATGGGCAGTAGAGTCATCGCTTGCTAAAACCGTCAATATCAGGGGCGGATCCAGAGATGCCCGAAAAGGGTATGATCAAGAGACAACGCTACCCTAGGGAAGTCCGGGGCATGCTTTTTGGGTGATACATAATTTATTTTTCTTTATTTTTTTCTTTTTCTTACTCCCCCTCCCCAACTCCCCCTCCTTCTTTCCCTCTCTAAATCCGGTCCGCCCCTGAATATTACATTGCTATCATTTGAGTTTTTGAAATCACAACGAATTTATGTAAGAGTAGTTATTCTCCATCCATGCTTGGAACCAGTAGGAGTCACCATTCACGTCCTGGAAGAACAGTACAATCCGCCTGGCCAATTCGAGACCACTTTGGGGACCTGAAATTTGGGTGGTCTCGAGGTTCGGTCCCTAATTAGAAACCACGATCAAAAAATGGTCTCCAGACAACATAATTAGAGGGTAAACGAACCTGAAACCTCTAATGAAGACCGAAGCTAAAAAAGTGGCCTCCAAAAGACAATATAGGACAGCCATTTATTAATTGTTTCGATCAAACTGATGTTTGCTTTATAAAATTGTTTTACCTACTTGAAACTGTTAAAAACTTGTTTAAAAAAATTGATAATCAATGTTGTTAAAAATTGTTTACACCAATAAGTTTCCTATGCCAGACGTTACTGTTGAGTGCACAGCACCGATTTTGCACTGTGTCCATGAGCTTTCAACTCCACTTTTTTGCAAGAGGTGAGGTGCCAAGGTCCTACAAATTTATTTTCAAAAACTAGTTTTTCAAAAAAGAAAAAAAAAAGCACAAAGATAATATGATGTTATATGGATAGCATTATCAAAATATATCTTAATATGGAATTAGGGGGTATTTATTGTTTAAAAAAAAACTTGAATTTGTTTGATTTTAGTTTATGAATTGGAGGTAGTTTTGTCACTTGGTACTTCCATAAAGGTGGTTTTGAATTAGGTCTCATAATTAGAGGGTGAAGTCAGTGTTAAAAATTGCTTGTTAGTTGGTGCATTGAAAAATTGGTCTTGGAATTAGAGGGGCGTATATCTTTTGCGTTGTGATTTCGAAGAAACTCAGTTGGCTGCTTGCATCACGTCTTAAAGCATTACCTCCATGCATGGTAGGCCTACCACATGTAAATTCTTAGATATAGGGTAAAAAACTAAAACTAAACAAAATAACTTACAGTGGCTATAGTATAGGCTACGATAGACGTACATTGCGCCTGTAGCATTTTTGTCTATTTCAAACAAAATATTCCCTGGTCATATTAATTGCGTAATATTTTTCTTTCAGGCCATACGGCTAGAACTACCGCCTTATTCCAAACACGTCCTAATGCAGAAACAACTTGGCCTATTACGCACAGAACAGAGCCCAAAGGTGGGCGATTAAAATGACAGAAACAGTATTGTTTTGAGTCTATTGAATATTGTAATGTATACAAAAATTAGTGTCTTCTTAGTAGAAGTTTAATGTGTTAAATTTACCATTCTGCACACTCGAAAAATGTCCCCTCTAAATATAATGGAGGCGTCCCCTTACTAAGGAAATTTTCTTCCTCCATGTTCTTACTAAGAATTGGCTGTAGAGTAATATTTGCCCTTGTTTTTCTCTATGGTTTTACGTAAAAGCGTGTCCTTCATAGGGGTGTCCCATATAAATGAGGGGTTCTACTTGTAGTTACAGCTTGAAATGTGGTCTTTTAAGTTTAAGTGCATTTTGGGCTCTTTTTCGGTAAAAAATATTCTACTTTCGAGTTTATTTAACGCGTTTTGGTTGAGAAACACAATTTAATTTTTACTTTGCCTAACTTGACGAGTATGCATTGCTAATATTAGCTAAATAGTTTCAATAATTATTCAAGTTACCATATGAGATTAGTATATACTTATAAACGCCAAAAACATAATAGTAGTATTACAAATGTGGATAGTATTGTAGATGATAGTGTAGTATTGCAGATGTGGATTAGGATATATATGTTACAGGCCTATATTAAAATCATGTTTTTGTATAGCAATTCAACTGCGTTAATATCCTCCTGTTTTAGGGAAACCAGGTGGACCTAGCACACGCCTACCTAATACCAAGACTATCAAAGGTGGGCAATTGTGGTTTATAGTAACAACTGAAGATTTTAATGAAGTACAAGACCAAACAATCAATCAATTAAAATAAATAAATCAACCAATAATCACTCAATCAAGCAACCAATCAATCAATCAATCAATCAATCAATCAATGAATCAATCAAACAATTTAAAATGTAAAATATTTAAGATTTTATATTCAGTACCTGTCTCTTATACACATCTAGATGTGTATAAGAGACAGGTCATAAACCCACGTGTGTTCTTGAAATTATATAAAAGGCGTTGAAACAAGGAATTGAAGCAACGAGTCATGTGGACTATAAAACACTTTTATTTCAAAAGAAATTTTCGACCAGTCCTCTGGTCTTCTTCAGCCTACAAAACTAAATGACAAAATGTGACTGATACAAGAGATCTATTATACAAATAAACAATATAATTGTGATAGGCTTAGAGCGACGTTCCGCAAAGTATGGTCCGCGGCCCAAATTTGGGCCGCGAAACATTTTTGGAGGGCCGCGAAGCCGTCTGGAAATTGACCAAAAAAAAAAAATAAAAAATAACAGAGACGTTTTATCATGGAGAAAATTGTTTTTAATAAAGCCGCTTTATTGTTACAGCGAATGCGTCATTTGCACACACTGCTAAAGTGCCAGATGATGCGTGCTATTTGAGTTATAAGCGGTTTTTGTGTCTATGTCTCGGGATCTTTTATCTGTATATTTATTCCTGATAGTTCTAGTATGCAACATTATTTTCTATAAATAAATATACTGTATATATACCTTTTTTAAGCATTAAATACATGTCAAGCGCGGATCCAAAGTTTACCCTGGCTATCGCACAGATGGGTTCCATATTGGGAGAGTGAGAAGAGAGCTAGCTTGTTTTGTCGCTGGAAGATAAATTTTAGATAGGCCTATTCGAAAAGTTTTTGTTTCTAGATTCTTTAATAATAATAATAATAATAATAATAATAATAATAATAATAATAATAATAATAATAATGTTATATTTATATACGGTAGCGCATATTGCACATTGCCCCTATGCGCTTTACAGAGAAATAATATAGGCCAACTGAGAAAAAGCAAAATAACAATAAAATACACTTTGTGCATTATGAGACGTCTATTATTGAATACAATTTGAATTCATAGTTTTTCCCTACTTCTATGGACAATTAATAATTATGATGATTAAGTGGATGATATGATGATGCGGAGGAAGCTGTGCAAGATTAATTAACAGGCCCTTTGATGTGAAGTGTCAAGCGAGGCCCGTAGCCTAAGTTCGGCTGGGAATTTGGAGAATTATCGTTGTCGTCAAATGTTCAATGCACACCAGTCGGACAATAAATGATTTATGATATTTGCTTTTTTATAGAAAGTAATCTGAAACCCACAAAATATCAGTTCAGGCATTCATTAATCTGTCTTTTTACATCTAGAATCGACTATTGTAATGGAATCTTATGTGGACTACCATATGCATCGATCAAGCGAATTCAACTTCAATTAAATACTGCCGCACGTCTCGTCAAACAAATATCGAAAACTCAACACATCACCTCTACATTGAAAACACTTCACTGGCTTCCAGTAAGGCAGCGCATTACATTTAAGATCCTTGTTCACACCTTTAAATGCCTTCACAACGTAGGCCTACCTGACCGATCTCATCCACCTCCGGTCATCAACATGTTATCGAAGTCTACGTTCCACCTCATGTCCATATACCGGTACTTTATCTACCCTTTAATTCGTTTTAAATATGGAGAGAGGTCCTTTCAAGCTGCTTCTCCCAAGCTATGGAATGCACTCCCTATTGAGATCCGACAGTCTCCTCCATCCATTAAGGAGAGACTCAAGACCTACCTTTTTCAAACTTTTTAATTTTTCCTTTTTTGTTGTTTTACTTTCATCGTTTAGTTTTTCTAGGATATGCTAGTCTAGATGCCAACATCACTTGAGCATCTGTGAGTTATGATTCTGCAAACCACTGCTTGCCTGTGGTCTCAAATTGCAGGAAAATGGTGCGGTGATGTTGGTTCCCCTGCGATAGTCTGTTTTCTCATGCTTTTTTTTCATTCTTTGGTCGCTTGGTTAGACTTTAGTTTTTGGTTTGTTTTCTTTCGTGTAACTTAAGCGCATAGAGACCATGTAGTATACGCTTTACAAGTCCCAAACCATTACCATTACCATTACCAAACATAACATATGAATCATACAAAATAAAAAGAATTCAAATAAAATTAAAAACATGTAAAAATCATCTACACTAAATCAAAATGGAATATTTACTGTCTGTTGGATCCCAGATTTAGTATTGCAAGGCTTTACAGTATAACCAATCCCCGTATTTCTGATAGATTGCTGATTAAAATGTAAAATATTTAAGATTTTATATTCAGTACATTCTCAAGTAAATCTCGTATATCCCAAAATCGCGTTATATTTATGCACCGAAGTAGAAAATTTAACTTAATAATTTTGATATGTTTTATGTTGAATGGTTTTTGCTGCGAAGCAGCCAATTCATATTTTTGACAGCAATTTGACCTCTGAAAGGTCATTGTTTGTCAAAAAACGAGTGCCTAAGACGACTGAAAAGCGGAGTTTCCTTCTTTCGTTCTGC